AAGATTCTTTGTAGGTTTATCCTCGCAATATGTTTGCATCATTAGTTGCCCATCCCGGACTGTACTCACCCATGGACTACATGGGTAAAGCAGAAGGTGATAGCTGCCCATCCCTGCCATGTCTTGTACTGAATAAATCAGCGTGGTCTGCTTTTCAAAATAGGGTTTCGAGGTCACCAGTTCACTGCCTCAGGTGTTGTTGTTCTTCCAGACCCTCCACCAAGCTTTCTTCCCCCTTTTCTTTTAGTGAAATTTGAGAGTCCTTACCACTTTCCAGTTCCAAGCTGCTGGGGTGGTGAATGATGGAGGCATCCTCCTGAATGAGATAATGAGAAACAGTATATAAACTAAACCATTTAGTTGAGAGTAGAGCAGTGGTATTCTGTGGTGTAGATGATGAGTTGTCCTCCATTTTATATCTTGAGAGTGAGCTATCAAGATTGCAGTTCACTCCTTTGATTGGGATCCCTCATCCTACCCCATGTGGATGTCAGTTCCCAGTGGCTGGATTTTTGGATTTATAGCTGAACTAATCAACATAAGTCTTCACACATGTATTACAAATGTCTCTATTCCCTCACTCAATTATACTCGTGTTACTCCATCCGTGTTTTGGGTCATGGCGGAGGTACTTGCAGATTAATCTGGTTCTTCCCCTTACACTATCCTTTGATGTCCGTATCATTCCGATGATGTTACTGCACTTTGGGCGGTTACTATCATTTTTATTTTGAGTGAGATGGTTTACATTATACAGACATCTTTTCGATGCCAGATGTCGGATTGATAAATCAATTTCTCACATTACTATCATGTGTCCCTTCATAGGTGGAGGGTACGAGATTCCCTCTGGTCTTATGAACTCGAGGTGAAGATGGTCCTCCTTCATACCCTCACCTGATGGCTGGGTATAGATAGTAGTCGACTTGCCAGCAGTATGATCCTTTTTCCTACCCCCACATAGATGCCAGTTCCAAATGGCCAGGTTTTGAACTGTAGTTGACTTACTGACAGTATGATCCTCATCCTACACCACGTGAATGCCAGTTCCTGGCAGTCTGGATCTTGGATGTAGTTAACTTACCATGTATGGTCTGTTGCACCCTAGCCACTCTACACCTGAAGACACATCCTCTTACTCACACCCACATTTATGTATTGTGGGATTGAGAATCATGTATCATGTGGTTTGGATCCCTATCCAATCATAGTTCTCTCCCTATTGGATGTGCTACTCCCTATTCCCAGCCATATCTGTGACACTATTTTCTACACTGGGTGAAGAGTATACTTGGTACAGAAGTGGTGCAGTCTCCCAAGTACGATCTTTGACTACAAAGATCTCCTTTTTGGGAATGTCCTTCGGATGCTTCTCACACCGGTTCCTCCATCTATTCAATGTGAAATTTGAGCTATTTATGTGAGAAGAGGTAATGTACTGTATCAGAAGTTATGATTTTCCTATACTTACCACTTACAACCCTTCCTCCCCACTGAAAATCGGTGCTTCCATTTTCTTCCAAAACTCGAAGTAACAGTTTGGTAGAATTGAATAGTCACATGCGTCAAGAGAGTCTGTCGCACTCTTATTAGTGGAGAATTGTTGCATGATGATTTGCATGCAAGACACATTGGAATCAGTCAGTTGGAAGGAAGCTTCAAGGCTTGTGGCATGTGCCAAGATATTTTTCATATAAAGGGCAGTACTGAACGAGAATAACTATTTATGTGAGAAGAGGTAAGTAGTATCAGATATACATTTTCAATGTAGGAAAATTGTAACTTTCAAGTAGTTAACTGTGATGATATCATTGGTAAATTTAAAATATTTATTGATGTGGCCAAAAAGGGTGGATCATTCAGCAGCTTTATCAAATGACAGGACAGGTTAGACACCTTTTTCCATGAGAGGATGGTAGATAAAAGAAGATACTTTCATGCTTGGAGATACATCATGGGATGTAAACAAAGTCAAAATAACAGAAAAAAATAATTATGATGGTAAGTAGTACTTATCATGACAAATTTTTGTACCTTGATGATGATGAGGAGGTAGGGAAATAAAGTGCAAGGAAGGTGTTGAAGAAATCAACAAAATGTGCTACCTTGTAAAAATACATCAGCAGATAGATACACTCTGAAAGGTAAGACATCATTAGTGCTCAAAGACTCAACAATAAAAAAAAGGAACTGTTTTGCTTGTTCAGCTTTGGTTTAAGTCTTTTAATTAATTGACTTTTCTTTATTCACATTTCTTATTCAGTGTTGGCCTTAGCTAGGATTTCAAATTGTTTGAAAATTGCTATTTTCAAATATTTTCATTTGTTGAAGTTCATATAGTTATTTTAAAACCATAGAATGAAAATTGTGTATGATGTCTTATTCTCATATTTATGATGTCAATGTGTTAAATTATTTCAAACTGCCTGAGTAATATGTACCATTCACAGTACAATTTAGAACATCATAAACTTTATTTAGTGTCAAAATAATAGTTGTAACTTTATTCTTTGTCCTCCATTAGGTCAACAGTAAATTTATGAACTTAAAACATTTAAATCTGAGGTTTGATACTCCTCAGTAAACAGGGCATGTATGGCCCATTGTGTAGCTTTGTGTTTAAACAACAACAATAATTATCCTTAAATTTTTGGTAATCATTTTATTGCTGATGTGTTTTTCAGATGCATTCCAAGGGTCTTAAACTTGGTATTTACCAAGACTTTGGAACTTACACCTGCATGGGATATCCTGGCATCGTAAATTACATGGAACAAGATGCCAAGACATTTGCTGAGTGGGGAGTGGACATGTTGAAGCTTGATGGTTGTCATTCACATCCTAAAGACATGGATAAAGGTAAACAAAAATTTCATCTTGATCAACATCAAGAACAGTGTCCTCGCTATAGTAGGCTGGTCTAAAATCTCTTCTGCTAGTCATGGCAGGTCCTTTTTCATCAGCCCATTGGTTTGAAGATTCAAGGTTAATTGTCATTCCAGAACATTCCTTATCTTCTAGTTTGTGAACAGAAAGTGTTTCTTAATTTTTTGCAAGAAACTAGGCTTAGATTAGAGTCTACTCTCAAGTTTGAAAACAAAATAAATACATGTGATTAAAAGTTAACTCAGTCTCTGAAGACTTAGAGGCTAAGCAATCAATTGTAGATTAAATGTCACGGTCTATCAAGTTTCAAGCAGACCTTTACCATGAAAAAGCCATTGAATTGGATGAAGTACATGACACCTTAGATTGGGAATGGTGAATGCATTCACCCCTCTACTGCAATAATGCATTTGTCCCAACTAATAGAGAACCTACATAGCTTCTATGAGACATTACACACATGACTGCATGAGTGGGCTTACCAGTCAGCAACTATGGCTACCTAACCTAATTAATATTGTCTAGGTATTTAATTAACATGTGACATACCATCACATATTAATTATACATTATTATTCAGTGAACTAACTGATTATCTGTTTATTTGCTAATTTCATTTCTTCAGTAAAATTTACATTTTAGTGAAGAAAAGATGATCAAATGATTTAGAGGCTTAATCTATTTGATTCTCTACACCAGCTGTAACAGCTTAGTTTCTTAGTTTACAGCTTATAAGTGATGCTTGGAACATTTGCTATACCACCACAATTAATTATCCATTATTATTTAGCAGTCTAATTAATTGTTTACTTATTTGTTAATTTTTAAGTCCTCTGATACAGCATATGTGCTGCTGCTAATACTCTACACTACTTGTAAATTTCAACCTGTGTTTCTCAAGTACTCTGTAAGGCTTTTGAGCTATGAGTGTCTTATGCTTTACCATATCCGTACATCTCCAGGAAATATATCTGTATACTCATTTATAGGTGTGATATCATTGACACCAATTATCTTAAGGTGTTTTGTTTTTACTGGCTATCTTTGGTCCTAGTGGATGCCACATTTTTTTTTCGTTGTTGTTTCCACCATATTCCAAGTGGGCTTACTTTTTATGTCTCACCTCTTCTCATGCTTCTTCCAGTGCAAAGTCTTGCTTCTGATAATTATTTTCCAGATTTTACTACTTGCTGAGATAAATCCTAATCTTTTGCAGTTCTAATATTTTGTTTTCTTCTGCTTCTCATATTTCTGTCTATGTCTGTGGAAGGTTTATGATATCCAGGACAAGGAAAATCCTTAACAAAATGACCTTATTTTAAGCAAGTGAATCATAAAATTCATCCGAACTAGTCATTAACTTTTCCATGGGAACGATGTTGCCACTCTGAGTGAAATTGACGGTTATCTGTTCAGAACACGTTATACAATATGCCATTTGATAGATGAAAACCTTGACTTTCTATATAATGAAACGTAAGTGAGAACTATCAACGAATTGTGAAAGAGAGGATGTGACAAGTGGGTGAGGTAGGAGGGTCTGATTTCCTATTTGATAGCTCTGTAACCAAACAAAATTGAAGGCTATAGAAATTATGGTCTGTTTGAGCAATAATGATTTTATAAAGAGTATTTTATATTTGATTTCGTACATTTCGAGAGGTGATGGATAAAATAGGGATGATAACATGCTAAGACAAAATGTGTCACGTGTGTCGCAATATTGGAAATTCAGGATTTTTTATTTATTTCCTTGTAGAATTAAGAACTTAAAACTTGTATACTATTAAAATATGGATTATTAACTGCAGTTTTATGCTATTCTAATTGATATAATATAAACAAAAAGTAGTTTAATAAAATTTTGAATGTAAGACACTAAAACTTTGTGTCATGCGCAGTAAAGTGCACCCGGGCTGATAGGGTTAAAAAGAAGTGTATGAACTAAAATGTTATCAAAAAGATTATATTAAAAAAGAATCATCACAAAGTAACGTTGGCATAGTTAGAAAGCCAGTAAAATTTTTAGAAGTAAGTGAATTTGTCTACTTTTTGCATGATATTAGTCTATATTCTTTGGTGTATTATTTAATTAAATATACATTGTTAAGTGCTTTACTATAATCACTAAAAAAATTAGGCTTAACTCTCCTCGACAATCGAAAGCAAGAAAAAAGAAGATGGGTAAGTACTTTATTTCTTGTTTTTCATATTATTCATATTATAAAAGTAACTAAAATTAAAAGTATGGATCTTTTTAAGTTATTTAAGACTAGATTAGGTAAAATAAGTAATAATAATAATTTAATTAAAATGGTTCATGAGGCATGCACTCGAGCAGCTCATGGGTAATGTAATTCGATAGCATAACGTGAGTTGCACGTTCCCAGAGTGATTTACAACTTATAATGGCAGGGTTAGCAGTTAGACACAGTTTAAAGGGCAATAAAACAATAAAATTTAATTGTAAATAGATGTATAATGTTCCGAAGAAAGAGCTACTTAGGATAAACAAATGTAGTTTCAGGTTACAATTTGAAGTCATTCA